AGACAGGGTTTCTCTGTGTAGCTTTGCGCCTTTCCTGGAGCTCACTTGGTAGCCCAGGCTGGCCTCGAACTCACAGAGATCCGCCTGGCTCTGCTTCCCGAGTGCTGGGATTAAAGGCGTGCGCCACCAACGCCCAGCGAAATGCATATTTTGAAGAACTTTTAGAAAGTCTTTTATCAAAGGGACTTAGCCACTGTCAACTGGTGACCCCGTAGTTTATTTCTATTCCCTTGCTAATGCAGAGCTTATCTTTTATCTTAGTGTTAATACTTTTGGACTTTTCTGAGTGGCTCTGGATACATATGCAGGCTACGGCTGGATAAGTCCTGGCGTTACCATGTGTGACTGCCTGTTTGCACACACCTGTGGCTTCATTGAATATTATGCAACCTTCTGACCTTTGTAACCTGATAAGTGAGACGTGGCCAGCCATTTTCCCTTCAGCTTGTGTGTCCTTCTGAATGAGGTCACATTTCTTTTTCTTTTGTAGAGATCAGTTATTTCTGAAATCTCTGACACTGGTTCTTTTTTTCCCTCAAGTGTTATGGGTACCCCTTTCCTACATTTTTATACTGATAGGAACTCCTAAGAGATAAATGTTCAACAGATGGACTTCCTGCCCTCCTGCAGCTTGTGCTCTTTTGGAGGGGACAGTAAACATGCAGATATATGATTAGTTTAAATTATAAATGTTAGGGAAGACAGTTTGAGAGTTTATGAAGTTTGTTTTTGAGAAGCTTTTTTTTTTTGAAATTTTTGAGAGTTTGTTGAAGTTTGGGTGGGATGTGGTGGCTAATAGTGATTTCATAAGAGCTAGTTAGACCAGTGGTAGGAGAGAAGATGTTTTAGGCTGGTACGACATGGATGACAAGCTGGGGGAGGGAATAAACTGATAATGAGATAAGGAATAACGAAGATGACTAATTTTTTCTATTATATCTGTCTCTGAAGTCTGGCATCCAGACATTAGAGAATCCAGGGATCCAGGTTTATCAGATGGGGGTTTAAAGCAAGTCTTCTTCTCATTCTCCCACTGGATACTGCACACAGAATCCAGGGATCCAGGGTTATCAGATGGGGGTTTAAAGCAAGTCTTCTTCACGCTCTCCCACTGGATACTGCACACAGAATTCAGGGATCCAGGGCTATCAGATGGGGGTTTAAAGCAAGGCTTCCTCATTCTCCCACTGGATACTGAACACAGAATGAGTTTGCATCAGTTGATCTGATTAGCAAATGTCTTCAGGGCACCAATTGATTCTTGGGGAGACACCGTCTTTTTTTACTTCTCCGTGTAACTAATTTTGTATTTAAGAATGAAACCTAGTATGTCATCCTACATTATTTCATATTTCCCCCAATGCATAATTACAAATTCATCTCATTTTCTCATGTGAAATTAATTTGTGATTCTTTGAAGCTTGCTAAATGATGCATTGTTTGCTACTAAGTTGTCTGTAACCATTTCCCCATTAGGGAGAAGAGCTCTTTGAGTGTGTCCTTCTGTGTGTGACCAAATTGCAAATGTCTGTCTGATGAGTCTACATGGAGGAAGACATGACACTCACTAAAAATGATTTACAGCTTCTTGAGCATTGCAGTAAATTCTTAAGTGTAAAATCTCTGTCTTGGGCAAAATGAGCGGTGACAGACGCGCTCAGCTTATTTTTGATCAGTAATTTCTTTAAGGGTTTCATATGAAATCCCCTAGCATTGAAGTAGAAACGTAGAGCTATGGTTAATGTCTTCTACCAGGCAGCTAGACACTTGTAAAAAGCAGTGTGAGCCTTGGTGATTTTGAAAGTCGGGGCTAGCTGCTGGGCTTTTGAATTTGCTAGACATGTATTCTCCACTTAGGTATGTATGTAGATCTCATGTTTATTAGTTATGATGATGACATGTTCATTGGAAAGTCTGACAGGAAGCAGAGAGCCTTTCAGTGGAGACTAAGTGTAGACTTCATGTGGCAGACACATGTTGTCTGATCGTTTGCCTCTACTTGGTACAGAAATGCTTCATGGATGCTGCTGAACACTGAGTACATAGAAATGTCTGTATTTTTTAGTAAATGTTTCTGTAGATAGAGGTAGTTCCCATTATTTTTCTTTTTAATATTAAAGTCTAAAAAGTACAATTACAGTCTGTCTCGTTAACCTCCATGTGACTACACACAGTAGGGATTTTAAGTGTGATACTTTTGTAGACTCATTGTCTTGTACTTTTGTTCTTGTTGATAACAGTAAATGGGTGAATGACTGGCTGCATGGCAGGTTATTTTGTCTACTTCAGTAAGTATGTATGTCAGACCAACCTTCCTAACTGTGAGAAAGTTGGCTTTATAATCTGGTTCTTCCTATTCTCGTGGATGGTTCAAAGGATCACAAAATAGGAAAACAGATGCTGCCATGGAATAGGTGAATGTGCTAACCTAATTAATCCTGTCCCTGGCACCACACTTAGGCCGTGGATGCATATTTAAGATTCATACTGTTTTCTTCTACTTAGTGTTTTGTCTTGTCTGGATAAATTATGCTAAGATAAACTAAAACTACTCTTCCTCTGGCCTGCTCTTGTTCTGGTTTTGGCCTGCTTAGGCAGGTTTTCTTAAAGGCTTGCATGAGCACACTGTTTTATATAGGAAGTTCCTGGTTTCCGTGGCATGGTCTTAGCTTTCTCCTGTGATCTTTTTTCCAATCACTTGGATGCCTATATTAATGCCCGTATTTGAACAACCCACTTCTCGGCTTTATCGACTAGCCCACTTCGTGTCCATTCCGTCATAGTTACAGTGACTTTAGGGTTTTTATGAACTATAGGCAGGATTTGCTTCTTGACTCATTTCTAGATGTTTTTCCATAGATTTATCTTTAACATTTCTTTTCTTTTCACTTCCGTTTCTTCTACCTGACCTTTGCCTCTCCATTTGATTTTCTTTTTAAAGACTTCCTGTCCATCCTTTCAGTCTGTGAAACTGATTTTTATCCAGGAGAATTCCCTGATCTGACTTGCCATTGCATTCCGCCACCATTGGAAACACTGCTGTCATGGACTGGCCCAGACTGAATTATGTTCATACATGACTTCTCCCTCCTCACTCCTAATGTTTATTAGCATCACTCTATTAAACACCTGCACCTGGGACCACTGAGTCATCTTTGCCATATTATCAGTATTCGTTTTTTTTTTTTTTTTTTTTTTTTGGCCAATCATATCCCAATTTCTCACAGATACGTTTTTATGAACCTTATTTCCTCCTCTTCATATTTTCTACCAATGTCTACATTATTGAAGCTCCATTAAAACCGACTTTATCCTTATTGATTTATTTTGTATGTGAGCCTGACCTAATTTAAACTACTTGCTGATTACTAATATTAAATGGATAGTCTCATGAACTGTTTCCTCATAGGCAGGCTTCTCAGTGTTGAGCATGTAACTGCACATGCTGATCCCTGTTGATGCTTGCATTCTATTGGAGGGTGAGAGGGAGGGGCAGATGGCAAACATGAATAAAAAAGTAGCTTTGGTCTGTGATAAAGGCTATGTTATCATATAGTGAGGAGGTAGAGGGGGGTGCTGAATTGCTTAAGGGGCTCCTGGATACTTCTGGGGATGTTATATTTGGGTCGAGACACCAAGGTAGCTAGAACCATCCAAGTTGATGAAGAGAAGAAGCAGTATGAAATTACTTGATAATGTTTTAGTAGGAAAGAGGCTGTCTTTATAGTAACCATTGTGTACCGATAAAAACTAAGAATACCATCAGCACCCAAGGCTTCCCAAGGAGGTGGTGTGTTACTAACAAATGCAGCTGGAGAAATCTCCCTGCTGTGCATAATGTACAAGGCTTTCCTTGCTTGACTGTCCCTGGAGACCATTCAGGCCTGTAGGATAGGACTTCTTTTTTCACAAAATAAAACTACTATAAATTGAAAAGGAAAAGCTCCATCTTTGGAATAATTTTTTTCTTTTGTTGCATTTTAGTTCTTACTAACTTGAAGTTTCTGTCTAATCAAGCCAAGAAAATATTTTTTCTAAGCAATTATATCTGAAAATTTCCAAAATATGTGTTTATTAGGATAATGAAATAATGAAATTGAATGCATGTCCACATTTGATGGGCAGGGATTAAACTCCAGTCCATGCTTACATCTTAGGTCACCACCCTCGGGCTTTGAGGTCCAATGGTCCGATCCACACAGCCTCTGGAGTGGGGCAGAGTTAGACATAAGGGGTAATACAAAAGCATTACCTGAGTAAAAGCCCATTGTCCACAAAACAGAGGGTACAGCAGTCTGGAACTTAATTGTGTTCTTAAATAAATGCATCTTTTTTTGGTCATGTCTTGATGAATACTTATCAAAGCTTCCTGGCTCTCTGAACTTTCATACCTCTCAAATGGACAGTCTGTGATATTGAAGAAATGGAAGAAAAGACAGCAATGTTAATAATGAACAGTTAGCAATCATCATCTTGCATGGCATTATTGCAGAGGATTACTCAACAAACACATGGAGGTAGTGGTCTCACTTCCAGCCAGTCCTAAAAAGAGCTCAAACTGAAGCTCAGTGCTTAATTCCTGCATTTGCTGAGGAGTGTGCTTAATTAACTTAGCAGAGTCCTGTGAACAGAGGTAAATAACCTCTTTCTGATACTGGTATTGAAACAGACACTGTCCTTGAAGTGACAGCTCTCCAGGAAATAACAGGCGTGTGGTCTGAGTAGAACACTTTGTTCCCCATTGCTCCTGACATCAGGAGCCTTTCGATCATACCTTCGTGGAAAACGTGTGTGGGAAAATAAGGGTCACCCAAGATCCTTTACCGTGGGTCCTTCCTCTCTGGGGGATGGAGTGGAAGTTCAATTGCCTGTTTAAAAAGAACCCCCCCCCCCACGCGCAGTTAAGTATAGGCTGTTTGTAGAGATTGATCTTAGATGTTTATGAATTTCAGTTTCTCCTCGAACTTTGTTACCTTAACCTCACTTTATTGTCCCCCCAGTTTACTGCAGAGTGGTCAGCTCGAGATCGTGACAGGTGGCTGGGTTATGCCTGACGAAGCCACAGCACATTATTTTGCCTTAATTGACCAACTGATTGAAGGGCATCAATGGCTGGAAAGAAATCTAGGTATGTGTTCATGTCTTTTTTTCCTCCTTCAGTGGGGCTGGTTTTGGGAAGTTACACTTAAGGAATCTGAGCTAATAGTGCTGGTAATTGTTGAATAATTTATTCTTTACTAATTATATTTATTAGGTTATTATCTCAATTTCATAGAAATGATAATTCCATTTAAGGTCATCGATCTTGTTTCATGTCTTATTTATTAACTTGTTTCATTTGTTTAGAAGTTTATTATTTTAATTATATATTAGTGCCGGGCGGTGGTGGCGCACGCCTTTAATCCCAGCACTCGGGAGGCAGAGGCAGGCGGATCTCTGTGAGTTCGAGGCCAGCCTGGGCTACCAAGTGAGTCCCAGGAAAGGCGCAAAGCTACACAGAGAAACCCTGTCTCGAAAAATCAAAAAAAAAAAAAAAAAATTATATATTAGTTAAAACTTGATCATAAGAGGCAAAACCCTATAGCTTAATCCAAAATGAGTGTGGGAGAGAAGAAAAGGAAAAGGCATCTGCTCTGTCATGGAGGATTCTGGAGCTAGAGGTGTCCCGGTAGCTCCAGGCATGGTTCCATCCAGGGGACGTGACTTACACTATTGAGACTGTTTCCTCGGCTCATCTTGTTTGTGTTTTTGTCTTTACCCTGGATTCTCTGAGCGATGCGTAAGAAAGATGGCCCTAGGCAGCAGAAATACTCCCCTACCACCCAGTTCAGCAAATAGCATAAGGTATTTTTCTTACTGTTTTATCTCATTGATCTGATGAGTCAGGTACTTATCACTGAGGTACAGACAAGACTTGTTTTGATGGCCATGGTCTCCAGGGAGGTGGACCTATAGGTGGCAGTCAGTTACACCTGAACTGTGATACAGGTCTTTTGTGTGCCTGAACCCATGGGGAAGGTCCATCTGACAGAAGACTCTCCAGAGAGAAGCGGGGAGGAGTCTATTGGGCCGACGGCATCAGAAGTCCTCCGCAACTCACCAAGACCTAGAACGAATTGACATCTTCTGCCTGATACGTGCATTTTGTAGCATGGCATGAAGCTTGTTTCAAATATTTCATATCTCAACATAACTTTCATAGTTTTCTTTATGATAAACATTCATGATTTTTATTGAAGTTATTTCTAGATAATTTATTATTTAATTTTTTCTGTTAGGGATAAAAATTCCTCACTATTATAATTATTTCTTTCCTATTTATTCTAGCAGTTTTAAATCTACTGCAAAGAAATCCTAGCAAACTTCCACACATACTAGTTACAAGCATTTAAAAATTTTTTTTTCTCTTCCCATACCATCGTTGTGGTGGTAATTGTGTTTTGAAGCTTGGAGAATACATTGCAAATACTTCATCTGTGGAGAAATGTTTGCTCTAGCTAGGCTGAGATTCTAACCTCAAAGGCCTGGCTTGTGGGTCTGCCCTTGGCTGTTACTGGGCACTTGGAGTTTTTAAATGAAAACGGCTTACTGCCATTTAAAGTCTCTGTGTGTTTATGTTTGCTTCCTTCAGGAACCTGACACCTTAGTGTGTGTGTGTGTGTGTGTGTGTGTGTGTGTGTGTGTGTGTGTGTGTGTTTCCATGAATGTTAGATCACTTAATATTTGCAGAACTACTAGCTGTGCTTGGGGATGTGGCTCGGTAGATAGAATACTTAGCATGCACAAGGCACTGGGTTCAATTCCTAGCATCACATAAACTGGACATAGTGGTGCACACCTATAGTCCCAGCACTCAGGATGTGGAGGCAGGGGAAGCAGGAGTGAGAGGTCATCCTGGTCTACCTAGTAAAGTCCAGGCCAGCCTGCAATACATGAAACCCTATTGACTCACACCTGCTGGTAACTCCAGTTCCAGGGGATCTGTTGCCCTCTTCTGACCTTCTTGGGCACTTCATGCAACTGTGCACATCCTTTACAGGCAGGCAAAACACTCTTATACATAAAATAAAAAGAAATAAATACAAGTTGTGATTTTCGTGGGAATGTGTGGAATATGTTGGCTAAACAGTAAACACTGCCATGTTAACCACACCAAATCCTGCTATATGAACACGAGCTGTGTTTCCATTCATGTAGATTTTTAGTTTCCCTCAGTAATGTTTTCATGGCTTTCATTTTTTGTTTCTTTGTTGCATTTGGTCCTAGATACTGTATTTTGTTAGCTGCCATTGTAAATGAGATTTATTTTCTTGATTTCAGTTAGGAGTAGTTATTGGTAGTGTATATAGCTCTGTGTGTTGATTTTTGTATAGCTATCTTATATCTTGCCATGACCATAAAGCAGTGATTGGTTCTTGCATATGCTGTTAATTCACTCCTTTTCATGGCTGAGTAGTGTTTGGTTTTTAAATCAGATTCCTGTTAAATGTCTGTAGTGTGCTTCTAAATGTATGACACAGGCTTTCACAGCAGTTATGTACCAGCTCTTTTTAAAGCCTGTTTCGTTGTCATTGATAAATACTGGGGATAGAATTGCTGGGTACATTGTGTTTAACTTTATAGGTATGACAAAGCTTTGCAAAGTGCTTTTACTACTGTATACCCAACCAGCAATGAATTTGCTCTATTTTTGCCAACATTTCTAATGCCAGTCTTTTCAAGTAACAATTTCAGTAGAGATAAAATGATTGTACTGTTTCAACTTGCATTTATTTCACAGCTAAGAATGTTGAGTATGTTTAGTGTTTAATGTCCATTGTTTTGCTTATTTTGAAGTTTTCAAGTCTCACTCTTTTCAATTGGGTGTTACCTTTGTGTGTTCTTTGCTTCAGAATTTGAGCAATTTAGCACATAAGATTTTCTACCATTTTGTGATTGTTCATTTGTTGTTTAAGATTTTATTACTCTCCTGTCTCTGTCTGAGTGTGTGTGTGGTGTGTGTAGGTGAGGGCAGATGTGTGTGTACCACAGTACACGTGTGGTAGTAGGAAGACAGCTTTCAGGAGTTTGCTCTTTCCTTCCACCGTGAGTTCTGGGGGTTGAACTTGGGTCATGAGGCTGGCACAGCGAGTGCTTACCCACTGAGCCATCTTGCCAGCCTCTTCTTTTATTTGTAATGACACCTGTCTTAGTTTCTTCTTTTGTTGCTGGGATAAAATACTCTAACAGTGCAACTTAGGGGAGAAGGATTCCTTTTAGCTCACAGTTCCATGTTGCAGTCCTTCAGGATGGGGAGGGAAATTCAGGCATCGGGAGTTGAATCCACCAGAAGAAGAGAGCAGCGAGTGCAGACCTGTGCTCAGTCACTGTGTCCACACACGTAGCCTAGACCCTAACCTGCAAGTAAGAGGTGTCTTTCCCCATCCATTGACGTAGTCGAGAGGGTCCCCCACAGATATGTCCAAGGCCCATCACCAGGTGATTTTAGAATCTGCCAGGTCCACAGTGACCAGTAGCCATGACCTTTTTCCTTTCTTTTACCTGTTTAAAACTAGTATTTAAGACAACTTTTGATTTGTATGTATGAGTGGCAAGTTTATTTTCTCTTTTTATTACTGCTAATAGTTTATATAATTTATTGTATATAGTAAATATGTCCTAATTAAAAATAAAAATTATCTGTTTAGTACAGTTAGTTTTTAGACCATATATCTGTTTGCTTTGTTTCAGACTTCTGTAGCAGTCACATGCCAACAGTGACCATTGCCTTCTTATTTCAGATATTTAATAAAATTGCTTAAAGATACTAAATATTATAGTATCTATTATTTTATGTAGATTTTTTAATAGTGTTGAGAAAATTCTTTTTAGTACTTATCATTTCGCAGTATGTACTGCATTTCTTTCAGATATCTATTAACATTATGTGGTTTCTCTAATTTGTTCTATGAGTGTCATGGCAGTTTGCTCAATTAAAAAGTCATTGACTTCCAGAGCAAGTCCCTTCTGGCTTGGGTACTGTGGAGTTCACTCTTCGTAGTGATTTCTTTGTTTTATGATTTTTATATTTGTTTTCATAAGTGAGATTAGATTTTGTTCTTAATGTGCTACATTTATGTGAATTATTTATTGGTTTATGATATTTAATGTAATAACTAGTCAGCATTGAACCCTTTACATTCCAAATATTTTATGGGCATTTGAAAAGCTTGCTGCAACAGTTTATGCCTACAAGAACTTCACTCAGAGGTAGATTTTTTTTTTTTTAGTAATGCTAGAAATATTTCCATAATTGTGGATATAATCTGATTTCTTTCTAAAATGTCAATTAAAATTGTCTTATAAGAAACCCAACCTTTTAATTATTTAAAAGTTAATAATTACATGTAGTAATCTTGCTATTAAACAAACTTTACATAAATAATTGGTATACTGTGTAAAAATAGAATAGTAACATTTCAGCTGAATGAAGAAGAAACGGATAACTTGTAACTGTTTGTGATATACACTATTATAATAGTCTGAATTTCCTATTTGTTTTTATTATAAAAGTTTGGGTATTTTATATTACTCCTGAACCTTCCTCTTACCCTTAAAAATACTATTTGTTTAATGCCAAGGAAAACTCTGGCAAGTTCTGGAATCCAGCAGTCTCTCCCCAGCCCTGACCTCCTTTCAGAGCAAAGTAGTTTTGTTTTTTGAATGCAGTTTGCATCTTTTCAGTATTTTTATGTTTTTTTTTTGATTCCTTTTTCCATTGGACCTGACTGTCTCCTGTGGCTCCAGTGATTTCAATAGGGAAAAAAAAAATCATCAATGACGCTCCAGTTCTAAATTGATGGATACTGAACTCTCTGACATTTGATGTCCTGCTTAGAATCTTACTTTTCCTTTTATTTATGATGATACTTACTCCTGAAACTGCAAACTCAGAAAATGTTCTAGGGCATTACTTGGGAAGGACTGCCATGTATCCTGAACACAGTAGATGTTTTTTGTTTGTTTTTTGTTTTTTAATGAACCACATGATAGTAAGTCAGAGGTGCTTTTGTCTCTATCTCTAAACACTTGATAGTGTATTTGCTAAGAAATCAGGACACTTTTATTTTTAATGAGAAGATAGTTGTCAAACCGGGAGTATTAGCAGTGATGCAACAGGACAGTCTAATTCAGGCTGCATCCGAAGCATCTCAGCTACCTCAACAACACTGTACATAGAGGCTGCTGTTCCTCAAAGTCGAGTGTCTGATCCAGGATCATGTGTTATATTCAGTGGTCACGTCTCTTCATTTTCTTTAATCTTGAGTATTTCCTCAGCTTTTCTTGGGGTTTCTTGACCACAATACTTTGAGGCGTATAAGCCAGTTTTGGTTTCTTGTTTTGTTTTTGAGATCCACCTGCCTCTACCTCTGGAGTGCTAGGATTAAAGACAATGCTGCCGCCACCACCACCACCCAGTTTATAAGTGGGTTTTGGAAAAAAGTCAGTCAGTCTGAATTTGTTTCCTCAGGGTTAGTTTAAATTGTTGCTGTAGTATTTAGCTCTTTGGCTAGAACATCCCAGCACTGGTAATTCTATCATTCTCTACATCTTCTGAGAGGCACACAATATCTCCCTGTACCAGTGTTGGCAGTGCTAAACCTTCATCAGTGTAAGATATTTGCTAAACTGCTTTACCGTACATTCAAGTTTTTCTAATTAATGGTTTGTAGGAGGGGACTAGAGAGATGGCTCTGCAGTTAAGAGCAGTGACTGCTATTCCAGCGGACCCAAGTTTGGTTCTCAGAACCACACTGGGCAGCTCACAACCACCTGTAATTGCAGCTCCAGGGGATTCAACACCCTCTTCTGGACGAACTGATGCTCACACATACATCCACATACTCTCCCCAGTCTTAGTTAGGTTTATTATTGCTGTGATGAGACACCATGACCAACAGCAACTTGGGGAGGAAAGGGTTTATTTGGCTTACACTTCCAAATCACTATTCATCACAAAGGAAGTCAGGACAGGAACTCACACAGGGCAGGATCTTGGAGGCAGGAGCTGATGCAGAGGCCATGGAGCGTTGCTGCTCAGTGGTTTGTTGTTCAGCCTGCTTTCTTATAGAACCCAGGACCACCAGCCCAGGGGTCCACCACTCACAATGGACTGGGCCCTCTTCCATCAATCACTAATTAAGAAAGTGCCATACAGGCTTGCCTATAGCCCAGTCTTCTGGAGGCATTTTCTCCATTGAGGTTCCCTCATCACATGACTATAGTTTATGTCGAGTTGACATAAAACTAGCCAGCACAATTAATAAAAGTAAAATACAATAAATTTATAGGAGATACAGCAAGTGTGGGAGCCCATAGAAGTTTCCTTCTGAGATCTGAGTTTGCCTGACACAGCAGAACTGCATAAGGGGATGATTTGACCATGGGCGAGGTTGCCAGGTGGTTGGAAGAGTCTGCACTTGGCTGTGCCTGGGGGGAGGTCTTTTGCTCCACCCCTTGGCATTCCTTTAAAAGCTCTTTAGCAGAGACAGTCAGGGCCCGATGGATAAGGATCCAGGCCCTCCCGAGGCTATCCTGTGTTTTTGGCTGTCTCTCTTTAGCTATATTTCTAATATTTCCTGCTGCCCCTGCTCCAGAGTACACTGGGGAAAGTGGGGATGGGATGGCTCCCCACAATCAAGAATAATAACTATCCTACTCCTCACCAACGTGTGTGTGTGTGTGTGTGTGTGTGTGTGTGTGTGTGTGTGTGTGTGTGTGTATTTGACTTGAGTCTCGTATGGGTCTTTGCTTTTCCTTCTCAGTCCCCTTTGCTGCTTTCTGTGTTATACTTTAGAATTATTCAGCAAGGTTCCTTTTTCTCCTGTCTGATGAGTTACTTTGCGTCATAGCTATTTGAATGTAACTCTGCTACCTGAGCCCGGATCAGCTTTACCTCATTTTTGTGACCCTCAGGCCTCTCATAATTGTAGATGTGTGGGAATGCTAAATAGGTGTTTGAGTGAAAAAACACCTGTGCACAGCTCTATTAGTTATGTCAAGTTTTACAATGTAAAGAGAAGACCTCTTTGAGTCTTGACTAACCGAATGATCAGATTTGTCCAATGCTGGATGAATATTCTTGTCTCATTAATTCTAACCTGTGCATTTATTTATTTTTGTCACATTTTTTTCTCTGTGAAACAGGCACATTTTAGCTGGTGGCTCTTATAACTGCTCTGAGCCATGTTTCAAGCATTCCATTGACCTCATTCTAGGTAGAGAGAAAGGAAGAACATCAAAATGCATTGAGACTCAGTGAAGCATGGGGGACAGTTATTTCAATCAGTTCTGCCATGTGTGACATGATGGTGTTGGGCTGTTTAAAGGTGTTAATGGCAGACTGTTGAGATTTGGAAGTCTAACTTGAATTGACAGATCAGCTAGTTCCTGGGTTGTCTAACCCCACATGACAGACTGAGTACTGGTCTACCTCCAGTCGCTGGCAGTTGCTTAATCATAGCTGTGAAGGGTAGGGAGTGTTCCGTTTCTCTTTGAGCCCAGGAGTCTGTGGAACTCTGATGGGTCTCAATGTATTCTTTTTATTTCACTTACCATTAAAACAGAACAAAGTCACAAAGAGAATACTAACACTTCTTTTCTTTATCAACAGGAGTGAAACCTCGTTCAGGTTGGGCCATAGATCCTTTTGGACATTCACCCACAATGGCTTATCTTCTGAAACGTGCTGGATTTTCACACATGCTCATCCAGAGGGTCCATTATTCAGTGAAAAAACACTTCTCTTTGGAAAAAACGTTGGAATTTTTTTGGAGACAGAATTGGGGTATGTAGTATTTTGGAGACAGAATTGGGGTACATGGTGTTTGATGAAAGCCAATGATTCCACTTGACTGAGTTATATGGTCACAGGGGTTCTGAACTTACACCAGTGTGGGTGTCTTAGTTATTTATTGCTATGAAGAGACACCAAGACCAAGACAACTTATAAAAGAAAGTGTTTGCTGGGACTCATGGTTCCAGAGGGTTAGAATTCATGATCATCATGGTGCGGGGTATGATATCAGGTAGGCTGACATGTTCCTGGAGCAGTAGCTGAGAACTTCTATCTTGAGACATAATCACAAAACAGAGAACCCGCTGGAATGGTGTCAGCTTTTGAAACTTCAATTTCACCCCTAGGGACAAACTTCTTCCAACACTACCACACCTCCTAATCCTTCCCAGAAAGTTCCACCCACTGGACCAAGTGTTCAAATGTATGAGCCTATGATACAGAAAACCACAACCAATCAACATGCAGAGCTGTGAGGCTCAGTCTCCAGTCATTCAAAGCACCATACCACAGTGCTTTATTTATAGTGCAGTGCAAGACCACCAGACTGCTTAAAGATAGTTTTTGTTATAGGAAAATTATTTTCCATTGATTTGTGTCAAGATTCTTAGAAACGTTGATGTCAATTCATGTTTGGAAAATTGTGAAGTTGTATAACCAACAGAAGCAAATATGGTCTCGTGGGGAAAGCACTGTGTTCTCAGAAGGTCGAGCGTGCCTTAGAAGTTGCACGTCTCCACCTAGCTAGTGTTCCTTCTTCTCTCTTCTCTCTGCGTCTTATAAGAGGTTCCCTTGAACAGACCTTGATTGGGTCCTCTCAGGGAATCCTCACCCTTCCTGTGTGCACACAAATGGAAACAAATTTTACCCAGCTTTTTTTCTGGAGGAGACCGGGTTTAGGCCTCATGGAAGGTCTTTGCCTCTAGCAACCCCCACTGAGTAAGAACATCTTAATTTGTTATTTATTACTTTTTTATTTTTGAGATTATGATACAATTGAAACATTTCTTCCTTTACCTTCCTCTTTCCAGAGCCTTCCATATACCCTGCTTGCTCTCTTTCAAATTAATGTTCTCTTTATTTCATTAATTGTTATAGCATACATATATTAATATACATATATTTTCTAAATATAACTTGCACTATCTGTCCAACATTATTTGTATGCATGTTTTCAGGGCTGACCATTTGGTATTGAATAGCCAATTTGTGTGCTTTTCCTTGGGAAGACTATTTCTCCCGCTCTCAGCATTTCTTAGTTGTGTGTAGCTCTTTGTATTGGGTTTTAAGGCCTCTTGGCCTTTTCCCCCTCCACTTTTGCACGTCCATGGGTGTCCTCCTTGCTCAGATCACCTTTGGGCAGTCAGGGCGCTTAGACGCTATGGGAATAGCTTTTGACCTTAGTCGGAGGCACGCTCTCACAGCCAACTCTCTGCTCTTCTGACTCCTCCACTCTTTACCTTTCTTCCACAATAACCCCTGAGCCTTAGCTGTAGGAGTGTTTCATAGCTGTTTCCAAAGGGACTGGGCCTCACAACTCTGCATGTTGATTGGTTGTGGTTTTCTGTACTAATCTCTGTTGCAAAGTGAAGTTTTCTTAATGAGGAGCGAAGACTAAACCTACCTGTGAGTGTAAGGACTAATGTTTAGATTGTTAGGAGTTATGCTGCTTTAGTAAAGTAGTGGATATAGATTCTCCTCTGATAACCATGATTTCACTATACCGAGTAGTTAGCTAGTTTTCTAGTACCAGACCTGGTCTCCCTCTTCTGAGTGGGACTTAAGTCCAAATAGAGAGCTGTTGGCTGCTAAGGTCTGCATGCCACTAGTGGACCTTTAGGGTTGTTGTAGTTTGTAGACATCCTAGCTGGGTGGGACTGTTACTGTTGTTGCCTCCCTCCTTTGGAAGCTTGTGTGGCACTTCTGGTACTGTGAAAGCTAGTCCTCAGGGCGGGTTCTTTCAGGTCAGTTCCAGCATAGAGAGCTCTGGCCTTCCTTTTGAAGGACACGGGTCTTCTGCGATAGGGACTTACCTTCTGCCTCTGAGGACAATCCAGGGCACTAATATAGGCCCGTATATTTTTTGGGAGTCTCATGGACAGCCCTGGTCAACAACTTCAAAGAGGGCTTTTCCTGTCATATATTGGGTTTTTTTGTTAGGAGGTCTTTGGCTCTTGGAGGGTTGGCACTGTTAGTCTCAGTGAGATAAGTTCACTAAAATTATTTACATATATTTATACGCAAGATCACATATATTACAGGTTTTTTTTTGTTTTGCTTTTTTGTTTTTTTTTTTTAAGGTAGTTAATGGTATAATGTGAATCCATCTGGCTGTGGACTTTTTAGCTGGAAGCCTGTTTCTGTTTGCTCATTTATTGGGTCTGTTTATGTCGTTAACTTCTTGGTTTAAGTTTGGTGGTTTCACTAACCATAGAAAAAGCATCCATTTCTCTTAGGTTTTCCAGCTTAATAGAGTTCAGGTCTTCAGGATATTTCCATATAATATTGTGAGTTTCATTGGTGTCTATTAAAACATTTCCATGTTCATTTCTGACTGTTAACTTGGACCTTCTCTTTCCTTTGGTTAGTTGGGCCAAGAGTTGGTCAATCTTGTTTATGGATCAGCTGCGATTTGTTGATTCTTTGTTTTCTTTCTTTCTGTGTTGTAGATTTCTCCTCTGATTTTGATTATTTCTTGCTATTGACTAGATTTGGATATGATTTGTTCATGCTTTTCCATCTTTTTGAGTCCCGTCATTAAGCTGTTTATTTGTGCTTCTCCTGATTTTTTTTTTTCTTTTTGAGACAGGATTTATCTATGTAGCTTTGGAGCCTGTCCTGGAACTCATTCTGTAGACCAGGTTGGCCTCAAACTCACAGAGATTCTCCTCCCTCTGCTTCCTGAGTGCTGGGATTAAAGGTGTGTAGCTGTAGTTTTTTTGGTTCTGTCTGGCACACGATCAGGACAAATCTCTCTCACCTGCCAGTCCCGAGGCCACTCAGACCCAAGTAAACCCAAGTATGGCCATGGCAGGCTTTTTGCTATCTAGTTCGTCTATCTTAAATTCACCCATTTCTATAAATCATGGCTTGTGGCTTACTGGTATCTTTACATTTTACTTATCATGGCGGTGGTGGCTGGCAGCATCTCCTCACTCAGCTCTCTTGTTCCCAGAATTCTCCTCTCTCTTTGTCCTGCCTATACTTCCTGCCTGGCTACTGACCAATCAACACTTTATTTATTAACCAATCAGAACAACACATTCACAGCATACAGATATCCACAGCAAAAGTGTGCATCATCACCTCCCACCGGGTTATTTTTAATCTTTCTGTGTGTGTGTGTGTGTGTGTGTGTGTGTGTGTGTGTGTGTGTGTGTTAAAGAAATGGAAGCTTAGCTTCGAGGAGACATTTGGGGAAGTTTGAACTTGGTCATGTGTAGTTCCTGAAGTTGGAGTTTCTGCCCCAGTACATTGTGGCTCAGTCCGACTTACATGCTGAGATATTGTTGCTGAGAGGTTGTGAGGAGGCCACTGACTACCTCACTCTTGGTTCCCGAGTAGTCTGTGCACAAGTGTTTAGGAAAAGAAGTTGTTTCTACATCTAGAAAAAAAACTTCTCCATATGTGTTCCTGTGCTTCAAGGAACATAATTAGTCATGTTAGCTATCGTCCGTCTGTTCGTCCGTCCGTCCACCCATCCATCCATCCATCAATCTATCTATCTATCTTTCTTTCTGGAAAAACTCACCATGCAGGGAGGCCCAGAATTTGCAGGGTGTTATATTATGTATGGTGTGACACCATACATCTTAATCTGAAAAACAAAGAATTAATTTGAAGAAGCTTTGCTTAAATAATTGGCATGTTTCAAGTTGCTTAGAATTATAAGTTGGCAAGAAATTATTGAGTAGTTTTATATGCTTATGACAGCTAGTACAGAATATAGAAACTATCCTGTATATAAGGAAATTATATTTTGATTAGTACATTATAGACAAAACCAGATGCAGAATATTGACTATGTAAAAGAAGCTGCTGATTGGTGGGTGTTAGGAAAGGTACATGGTCCATGTCTTGATCAAAGGAAGAATGTTGGAGATTATTACCACCACTTTTGGGACTTGTGACAGGCTGTATCAAGCATCAGTGACCATTGTCCTTAGTGTCACACTTGGGGGTGTAGTTCACTGACACTTGCAGAGCATAGCACAGAAACACAGGGTTTTGGATAGTTTAAAATGTTGCCAAGGAAGTGGTTAAAACTGGTTAGGACTTCTCTGATAGGCTTGGGAATGTGGCTTCTTGAAAAATGTCTTCAAATTATGTGGAGCTTGTATGTGTGTTTTATTCTTAATAAAGCAGTTATTTTCATTGTTAAAAATGTGTTGATTGCTTTGTCTTTATTAAAGAAACAATACCCATTGTAGAAGCTGGAAACACACACATACATAAAAGGAGAGGGCTGTTAAAGCATAGCATCATACTCACAAACCTCTAGTCCACCTGGAGGTCTGCTTCTGACTGTTCAGGGCAGTAGTCTCATGCTGACATCGAGGTCTCTAAAGCACTATCCTCTTATCAGTAGCTCTCCTTAAATTTCCATACTCTTTTGGTTTGCTTTGATTTTTGAATTGGAAATTCCCCTTTCCTGTGTACCTTTTGTGATGGAAAATGCCACTGACTCATTCCTGGGGACCAGCAGGAGACACTCCATGAACTTTGCAGTGTTCTGTATCTCTCCTGCTGTAGGGAGCTGGCCTTTGTCCAGGGCTCCCTCCTCCTCGCCCACCCTTTCTTCTTTGTTTCTTGAGCTCTCTTCTTACTTTTTTTCTCACCTAGCCTCTCTGGCTGATGTAGCTGTCACAATTGTGTCCCTAGGAACAGATGTAGCAGAAGCTGGCAGCCCGGGGTAGACAAGGTCATGATTTTGCATGAGCCAGCTGTAACTTTGACTTTTGCTCAGGTTGTATCCTCCATATCAGCAGTTGCTGGTTCATCAGGGACTTTTCTATTTCAGTTCTAGTAGATAGAAGAGGTGAATGAGGGTGAGCTACAGATCTTCCTTCAGCTGTGGCTGTGAAATGCTTCTGGGGTATAAAAATGACTACTGATTGAGGGCACAGCTTGCGTTACCTAGATTTGTATAAAGTAATGGCATTTGAACAGTTCTGGGGAGAAACAATTTGGTGAACAGAACTATGTTGACTTTTTATTTTAGATCTTGGATCTGTCACAGACATTTTGTGCCACATGATGCCCTTCTACAGCTATGATATCCCTCACACTTGTGGACCTGACCCTAAAATATGCTGCCAGTTTGATTTTAAACGGCTTCCTGGAGGCAGATATGGTTGTCCCTGGGGAGTCCCACCAGAAGCAATATCTCCTGGAAATGTGCAAAGCAGGTATAAAAATACGTGTTTTGTAAGACACGAAGAACACTATGGCTACTGAGTTGTTGAAGGATCGAATAAGTGGGTGTTGGCAGCCAACATTATCCTCACTCAAAGTTGTTCATTCAAACCAGATCTAAAGCAACTTCGAAATGGCAGCACCTTGACCATACCTTTAGGTGTTATAATTTAATGGCAAGTGAACGGTGGTAGATCAATATACAATGGCTAACCTATAATATGCTGTTATTACCATCTCCTTCATACTCATTATAAAAGCTTTCTACTGTGTTTGATTGATTTCATATACTTCTGTTGATAATAAGACTTTTGGTCCCCATTGTACAAATTGGTAAGAAAAGCAGTGCAACTGCAGAAACACATTTATTGAAGTGGAGCACATGAAGAGTATAATTATCTCTTACCTTAATAACAATTTCAGTAATGGTGACTATGCACAGCTCGGATGAATACACATCTTTGCATCTTTCTGATGTTTTTGACTTATAGAAGACTTTAATTAGAATGATTTATATTTAAATAACTTGTGAATAAAAGTCACAAGGATGGACCAATTCTTCAGAAAACAATGTACCAGTGAAGGAAACTTCTCATTTCAAGTTACCTCTAGTTTCTCACTTTGCGCCTTATAAAGTTCAGTTCTCATGCTTAAAATGAGAGGTGTGTAATATGTGTATATATTTCTTATATATGTACATATATATGTATCAGAAATAGAGGTTATGAATTTGAGAGAGAGCTAGGGGGAGGTTACATGGGAATAGTTGAGTAACTTTAAGTAAACTGATATGGTAGTACATACACCAGGTGGGAGTGCTGTTTATATGTGCTTAATCTCATAAATAGAATTTATGTAGTAGCATATCTATGTATTTGAAAATTACTTTTAAAAATGTGTAGTTTAGTAAGGTGGCAGTTACAGGGTTTTCTATATATTTAGGATAAACACACACAGATCACTCATGCACACACACACACACACACACACACACACACACACACACACACACATCAACCATTAAAGAAATAGAAGCCATGAATTTAAGAGAGAGCAAGGGGGAGGTTGTATGGGAAAGGTTAGAGGGAGGAAAATGAAGGGGGAAATAATATATTTTAATTTCAAAAATTGAAAGAATATTTTGAAAATATTTGGGAGGAAGAAAGTGATACTGGGTCATTTTACCTTGATGGAGTCCTTGTCATAAGGGACATATGCCAGTGTGAGCAGACATCATTGGAACGGGCCTGGGGCAGCCTTCTTGAGTCTGCAAAGCTCTGTTTTGTCAGATTCTCACTTCACAGTGGTTGTGATACTGACCAGGTCTAGGGTACCTCTAGGAGAGGTTGGTCAGGCCTTTGAGAATGAGCTCGTGCTGTATTTTGTTGTTAGCTGTTTTTTTCTTTTGGGGGGCCACCACCCAGCTCCCAAAGAAATCACACATGGAGTCTCATTCTTAGCTTGGCTTGATTCTAGCCAGCTTTCCTTCACTTTAAATTATCCCATCTACCTTTTACCTTTCTCTATTTTTGTATGCCTTTCTTTGTTTCTTACGCAGTTGCTTGCAGTGTAGCCGGGTGGCTGGCCCCTGATGTCCTCCTCCTTCTATGGCTACTTCTTTCCAAGATTTCTCCTTCTATTCATTCTTTCTGCCTGCCAGCCCTGCCCATCCTTTCTCCTGCCTCACTATTGGCCATTCAGCTCTTTATTAGACCATCAGGTGTTTTAGACAGGCACAGGAACACAGCTTCACAGAGTTAAACAAATGCAACATGAACAAAAGTAACACACCTTAAAATAATATTCCCCAACAGTGCTTACCAGAGGCTGTAGTGAAAAGAGAAGAAGACTGGTGATGAGTAATGCCGACCTGTCCATGTAGCAAGTGGTTGTATGTACAGGTGCTCACAGTGTCTCAGGCTAGCCAGATATTTCAGTTGGGGAGGTCCCCTTTGGTCTCTTGGTGCCGCTGAAGGTGCCTGTTGGAGGAGGTGTATTATTAGGGACCAAACACATTTTGTGTAATTATATTGCTGTGTAACCTTTCACAGATTGTCCCTCAAAAATATACCTACTTCTGAGTTCCAGTGATTCTCAAGTTACTTCCAGGCTCCTCAGGGGACGTGGGAGAATGATCTATGTAATACTTGTGTAGAGTTTTAAAAACTTTCTGAATGTGAACTCTGCTGGCTACTTAATATCCACATACCGTCTTTTTTTTTTTTTTTTTTTTAAACTTGGTCATAAGAAGAAATCAAATATAGGCATGCCAGTTAGCTTCGTGACATCTTTCCCCCTAGTCAATTAGCTAAAGAAAACTAGACTTAATTGTAATAGACAGGTGCCATCTTTTAGTAGTTTTGGTTCATTGCCTTCCTCCAATTTGCAAAAGAGGAAATAGCATCCACCAATTTAATTTTTGACCTATCATTGTATTTTAGATTGCCTGTTTTCATTGAATATCAAATAATCTTAGAGTTATGGAAATAGTTGACATTTGTTAGCATGGAGTAAGTCACGAGCGAATAGTAGCTACATGCCTTCAAATGTGGTGCTGGCCAGCTAGTTGTTCAGTCATCCATCCATCTCTTGAGTGTCTGCTACATGCTGTGAGGGATAAAGTGGTAGCTGGTTCTTCTCAACTGGGCTCACAGGTTCTGAAGGATGTCAAAGGTAAAGGCATGCCAATGTTCATACTGTCTTTTCTCTCTGTTATAAGCCATGCATATTTAAGCTTTGTTTCATCTATCAGTCAACCCCCCCCCTTTTTTTTTAATTATGGCTGCCTCAGTAATGTAGGTTGGGTGCTCATCCATAGTACATGTTTTATCTATTATTATATTTTCTTTTTATTTCTTTTTTCTAGAGAGGAAGTTCTGTTTATATGTGGTTAATATCATTGTTCATGTGCATTTGAATTTATAAGTAAAAATCTAAAAGTATCTTTAGGGAATGTGAAATGTTACGGACTTGGTAACAAAGATTAAATATCTCACCAAATGCTAATCTCAGAAAACTAAGAATATATATTATATGTGATCACTATGGATGTATTTTATTTATCAAGCTACTAAATTATTGCTAAAATTTTATTTGCAAAGCAGTTTCAGAGACTATAAATTTCAGAAAGTCCATATGGGATTCTAAGTTTAATTAAATGTTATTTTTCATAAGTTACTTCTTATTGATGTTCTTTGAGGTACCTTCATAAGTTTTATATTGGGAATTGGAATTTACTTTTGGATAATCTTTGAAGTGAAAATTGGAATACTCGGCAAAAAAAAAAATCATGCTTATCATTTAAACACTAGTTTCCTGAGCTTTGACTTTCTGCACACTGAATGACTCTGGGGTCATGTGCTTATTTCATTTCATTTCATTTCATGAGCCTATCGTCCTGTTTTCTCAATGGTGCCCCAACTCAGCACCCCCCAAAGGTGTGTCTCCAGAATACTGAATCTGAAGTGTGAAAGCTGCTGACATCAGCATGTCGTGTTTGGCTGGCCTTGGGAGTCATGGTTCGAAGCCCCAGAGGGTAGAAACCAGAATGGCTAATTCAGCTGCCGAGCATGAGCTCTTGATCAAAAGGACAGCCGACAGGGATGGGAGATTGAGGACAGGTGTGCAGGGAGTGGGTGACCCTTTATAAAAGAAAACATAAAATTCATAAACCATTATGAGTTATGATTTACACCTTTTAATCGCCTTCAAAGTTTGCTTTCTTCTGTTTTACCAGACTATTAGATTTTTTTTTATTAAGTTTGAGAGTGGAATATTAAAGTAGAGCAAAGCTCAGTACTGATATATAGTTGGGAAACCTGATGTCTTCCTATACGAGACTGCGGGCTGTCTGGTGTCTAATGCTGTGGCAAGGAAGAGGCATGATTCCAGGATGATGCCAGTATCTTGGTTCGCTGTGATTTCTCAAAGGAACACCTATTGGAAAACTGTGTGGTTTCCCTACAATAAGAATTTGTGGCCATTTAAAATAGACACTAAGTGATGGGGGAAGTCTGTCTTATAAATCTCACTTTATCTAATTTTTTTTTAAAATCAGTGATGTTTTTTCATATAATACACGTTTGAATTCCTAAGTTGCCTTTTTATTGAGCTACAGTGTCAGCTTTTTCCTGGTATTATTTTTCACATTTTCCCCCTTTTCTTTCACAGGGCTCAAATGCTGCTAGATCAGTACCGGAAAAAGTCCAAACTTTTCCGAACTAAAGTCCTCCTGGCTCCCCTGGGCGACGACTTCCGGTACAGTGAATACACAGAGTGGGATCTGCAGTATAGAAATTATGAGCAGCTATTCAGTTACATGAATTCTCAGCCCCAGCTTAAAGTGAAGGTAATGAGGGGGTCTGGATGATGTCTTTGGAGTGGAACCTCCATCCTTAAAGGAGGCCCCAGCATGACATCCAGGATCTCTGTCCTACATCCCTGGAACTTGCCCTTACCCACAAATACAAATTTACCATATCCCGTGATTCTGTTTCCAGAAGTCATCCTTGCTCCCCACGTGAGGACGTTTAGTGCTTGGGCCGTTAGAGAGCGGCTACTTTTATGTGATTTAAAAAAAATGTGCGCCTACTAAGTCACGGTCTCTTTGGGGATGTCCGCTTTATTTATAGCATGGCAGTCGCATCCTGTGATTTAGTGACGTGATCGGCTGTTAGGAGTGAGCTGTCATGAGTTTTACAAGTATCTTGTGTTCAGAGAATACACTTGCATTTTTCCTAAGTGAGAGGATCTTCAAAATAATCATGATTTTTACTGTTTTTTTTTTTTTAACTTGTGGAAAATTTAAAATATTCTGGAAAGAGCAGAGGTAGCTGCTTTCTCTTCAATGCTATAGTTCAGCCCCAACACTCATCAACTCACGGCCACTCTTGTTTCCAATGTGTCCTCCGGCATCCTTTGGGAGCAAATCTCAGGTGCCATGTTTCATCCATAACATTTTTGGAGTGTTATTTCTAAATGATAAGAATTCTGTTTAAAGCTGTAATCATAGTTTTATTATCATACCAGAAATTAGAAATTATTTAGTAACATGAATCTGGATAAGGCTGGAATTTTCTTAGTCTTTACTTAAGATAAGTTTCAATTTGAGCAGATACTGCATGTGGTCAGCAAAGTCTTGTTTCATATGCATCTTAGAAACCATATGTAAGAAAGTTCAATGTGTTTGTTATAGTCATATATCCACCCACAGCACAGTAGATCTGTGGGAGGAAGTGCTGTCTCTATGTAGAGAGTTTTAAAAATTCATAATCGATCATAGTTTATGTGGCAAGAATTAAGTAAATTTCTATAATACCACGTAAATGAATTTTTTAAAATGTGCATTAGTGTTTGGCCTGCATGTATGTCTATGGGAGGGTGTCAGGTCTGCTGGAAGTGGAGTTATAAAGAGTCGTGAGTTGCCATGTGAGTACTGGGAATTGAACCTGGATCCTCTAGAAGAGCAGCTAGTGCTCTTAACCACAGAGCCAGCTCTCCAGCCCTCAAACAAATTAAAAAAAAAATTATACCAAATATTTACAATTATTTTTGCAAGGGTATGACGTTGAACAAAGGAAATGTATTTAAGTAAGTCTGTATCCTCAAAAGTGAGGCTGTACATAATCAGAGAAGGGTGTGTGAAGATATCTTACTTTTAAGTGCATCATTTTTATTTTTATTTGCTTGTTTGTTTATTCTGTATGCATGAGTGTGGAGACAAGAGGTTCACATTGAGTACCTTCCCTGATCACTCCTCACCTTATTATTTGAGGCAGAGTCTCTCACTTAATCCGGAATTTATGTATATGGCAACTGCCTGACCAGTGAGCTCCAGTGATCGACCTGTCTTACCTCCCTAGCGCTGGTATATAGGTGCATACTACTGTGTATGGCTTTCTTAAGTGCGTGCTGGCGATCTGGACTCAGGTCCTCATGCTCTGTGGCAAGCGCTTTCTTTATCCACTGAGCATCTCCCCAGCCCTCTAAATGTATCTTATTTGGGAACGATTTCTAGTCTAGTTTCCTACTTGACCCTAACGAATTAGGTCATAATTTTATTATTTTCCCTTTTCTGGTATGCTCATTAAAACAAGTTTAAGAATAATTTAATGAAATATCACATACAGAAAACTGTATAAACTCTAAGTATGCAGAGAATTTTTTTTTAAGCTTAAAAGACTCCTTTGTAAGCATCACCCATCATCAAGCTTAGGACTCACACCCAAAAGCAGCTTCTCGGGGCTCCTCCCACCTAGCACCAGCTGCTGCGGAAACACCCTGAGTTCTCACTCCCATCCCTTGTTCTTGAGTTTCTGAGGACGGGAATCACAAGGTTCTGCCTGTTCTCTTTTAGATGATGTTTGAGTCTCAACCGCCCTCTTCATTCCTTTTGAAAAAGTTACCTCTTTTATTTTTCGAGATTATAATTACATCATTCCTCCTTCCTTTTTCTCCCTTCAGACCCTCCCATATACTTATCCTTGCTTTTTCAGATTCATGACCCCTTTTGAAAATTAGTTGTTGGTATATAAATGTATGTTTATGTATACATATATCTCCTTAGGTGTAACCTGCTCGGTCTGTATAATGTTACTTGTATATATGTTTCCAGTGCGGCCCATTTGGTATAGTTATTGGAAGACTGTTTGACTCCTCTCAGCATTTCTCAACTGCCTGTTGTTCTTTGTGTAGGGTCTTTCCCCACCCACTTTGTGTGTCTTCTTGTCCTTGTTCAGCTCATGTTCAAGCAGTCATGTTGATGAGACTTGGTGTTACCAGAATTGGCCTTTCTAGCATTTTTATTCTTTTGAAAATTGTTTTTATTTTATGTGTATGGATGTTGCATGTATGTCTGTGTACTACATGAATGAAGTGCTCCAGGAGGCCAGGAGAGGGTGTCGGATCCCCTGGAACTGGAGTGACAGAAGGTTGTGAGCTGCCATGTCTGTGCTGGGAACTGAACCCAGGTCCTCGAGAAGGGCAGCCAGCGTTCTAACCAAGGAGCCATCTCTCCGCACCCCACCTCCTATTTGCACCCTTCTAATAGATGTGTTAGGCGTTTTGTCTGTGTGGCAGATGCCAAAGAGAAACATCTTACACATGGGGAGGATTTCTCATGGCTCACAGTTTCAGACGTCTTGGTTCCTTGTCTCTTGTTTCTGGCCTTGTGAGGCAACTACACATCGTGGTTGGAGGGCATAGTAGAGGGATGCTGAGGGTCCCAGTTCTGCCTTGAAGAGCACACCCCGTGAGCTGCTTCCTCTACATAGGTCCTAAGAGTCCGCCGCCTGCTACTGTGCCACCAAATAACCCCGTGCTCATGCTGAACCTTTGGGGAACTCCAGAGCCAAGCCATAGTAATGGACCTGGTTGTCTAGTTTTCCTTTCCCTGGACACAAGTCAGCTGCTGTCATGTCTTCTGTTCTTTTAGTGTATGTCTATTGCACTGTATAATCGATTCCTCTGTGGTGTTTTCATACCTATATGTCGGGTATTGTGTTCATGTTATCCATACTAATCCCTGCTTCTTGCTCATGAACGTCTCTTTCTACTCTTTGCCACCCCCCTTTCTAGTTCCATTTTTTTTTTTTCCTTTCAGAGTCCACACAGGAGAGAAAACGTTATAGTTGTTTTTCTGACTTTCTGAGTCTGAGTGATTTCATTTATCAGGATGATCTCTAGGTCCACCCATTTGACTGTGTCCAGGATGGTTGTTGATGATGCTGATCCTCCTCTTCCTCCTCCTCCTTTTTCATGGCTGAGTAATAATCCATTGTGTGTATGTGCCACATAACCTTTTCCATTCATCCAGTGATAGACATCTAGGCAGAATCCATAACCTGGCTGTTGTAAATGGTACTGCAACAAACATGGGCACACAGCTATCTGTATTGTACACTGCCTTATTCCTCCAGCTTAAACTTAGTGCGTTTCAGAGTTAGATCCTCAGTCATCTCTGGGATAGAGTGCAGTGAACGGGATCAAGATAGAGTTTTGCCTAGGACAGTGGTTCTCAACCTCCTAATGCTGTGACCCTTTAGTACAGTTCCTCATGTCGTGGTGCCCCTCAACCATAAAATTATTTTGTTGCTACTTCATAGCTGTAATTTTGGTACTGTTATGAATCTAATGTAAATATCTGTGTTTTCTGATGGTCCTAGGTGACCCCTGTAGAAGGGTCATTCAGCCCCAAAAGGGATTGTGACTCACAGATTGAGAGCCTATGAGGATACACAGGGCATAGTCTTTTGTAGTTTTATATATGTCTAGGTAAACCTTTTAATTTCTGCAAAACAAACAAAAGACCTGCCCAAAACTTTGATCTCGTGTTAGAATTGTATTGCGTCTGTGGTTCTGGATGAATGCAGTCAACTTTTTGAAATCATGAATTTGGTATATTCTATGTATAAAATGCCATTGGGCTTTGTGTTTAACGTTCCATCTAGTAGCCTTGTAATAAATTTGTTTGTTGACTTCAGTTGTGTGAGGATGTTAGCTGCTTGATGTCGAGTTTGTTGGAACCCCTTCATCAGATCGAGACCCTCTTCCTGCTCTTCCTCATTTTCATTGTTTCTCACGTTTTTTTTTTTTTTTTTTTCCTTGACTAGCTGCTGAGGTCTTTCAATCGTCCTTTTTGTGGGTCCTCTGCTAGGTCTTCGTGTCTCATGCAGTGAGTGGACAAGGACCCCTGTGGAGTGTGGTGGATACCTAGCCCTCCCCATGTGCTGTATCTTCCAGTGTTCTTGTCCGGTCTCAGTCTGTTTCTTCAGCCTTGGTGGGTCTTTGGTACCAGCCTCTCAGGTCTTATCATTCCCGCTGCTTACTTCCGCTCAGTTCAGGGGCGGTCCACTTTGTGAATGACCTGTTGTTCTGAAAGCCTCTCCATTCTCTCACAGGAATAGAGGTCAGGAGAAGTATGGTATGTGAGATGCCTTGTGGCTAAAAATGTTTTCAGATTTCTAGAGCATTTTGCACTTTTCAGATTTTTACTGCTGTCCTGTCTAAGAGTAGTTCACCTGAACTCCTCTTCGAATTCTTCAACACTTGGAGCCTTTGTAGGTTTTGGAGTCGATAGACTTGTAGATCTAAGTCGTTCTTTAAACTGCTTAGGTAGGCACGTTTTCTCTTAGTTAAATGTGGGCTGTGATGCAAGTCAGAGGAGGAGTCAGCGGCATCCTCCACCCCCATGTTTCACTCACGAGTGTACCCGGGTCAGTGACACCATCCACCCCCACGTTTCACTCACGAGTGTACTCTTTTAAACTTTATTTCCTAGATTCAGTTTGGAACTTTGTCTGATTATTTTGATGCACTGGAAAAAGCAGGGGCAAAGGAGAAGAAGGGTGGCCAGTCCCTGTTCCCTGTCGTGAGTGGAGACTTCTTCACCTACGCTGACCGGGATGATCATTATTGGAGCGGCTACTTCACATCCAGACCTTTCTACAAACGAATGGATCGAATCGTGGAATCGCGTTTAAGGTACTAGACCTTGAAAAACTCCGTCTGTTTATTCTTTTACCTCGCCATTTTTGTAAAATGGCTGGGGAGAGGCCTTGGCGGGTGGAGCCGCGGCGGAAAGTCACTCCCATCGTGCAGACACGGCACTCATGCGGAAGGTTTTATTAAGGGAGGAAGGAAGGGGGGAAGAAAGAAAAAATGAGCAGGGTCTGAGGAGAGGAGAAGAAGAAAAAGAAAAGGAAAGAAAAGGAAGGGAGGTGGTGCACAGGAACTCATGGCCAGAGAGAAAGGAAGAGAGGTAGAAGGGGGAGGGGCTTTCTCTTAAAGACGTAAGATGACTTTGTCAGGGCACTGGGCGGGCCAGGGGCGGGTCTGAATGCTAACAACTGCAGCATTTTAATAGAGTTTTGCATACATCCTTTATGTGGTGCTGTATATTTAATGTAATTACAAAGTTTTAATACAGCCAGAATATGTCTCTGTAGTGTAATCAAATTATCACACTTTTTGTTCTAAGGGAAAAAACAATTTATTAGATTGTGTTTTCTTCGATTCGTATCCTGTATTTTTCTAATTAATTTTCCTGTATTGCTTCTGTGTTGATAGTAGGTGGTACGACCATGTGATCTGCAGGCAGGTAGCAGGCTGAACTTTTAGAGTCAAATAGGTGCATAGGACTTCTCAGCAGCTGCAAGTGGGCCTCTGAGTGCACGCTCTAAAACGAGTGCATTTTCTGTGTGGGAGAACTTCAGAGGCTCCATGTCAGTTCTGATGCATTTTAAGTACCTTTCTGTGGATATGGTTTCTCTGTTTAGAAGAACAAAATTTGAAAGGGAGGAGAATTGATAGGACAAGCAAATGACTGAATAAGTCAACTGGCTCTGTGGTAATGCCAGCAGGGAAGAGCACAAGACAACATGGTCAGGTGGAGCTGTTCATCACTGGCAGAGAGCTCTGCTTTCTGTGATGGCCACGGTGAGAGCTGTTACATTTGAGCGCTGGAAATGTGGCCAGTGTGCCTGAGAGCTGGAGTCTACATTTCATCTACCTGCCTCTAGCCACATATGATCCCATTAGGAAAGGGCTTTCTGAGAAACCATAGGCAGACCCTCTGTGAAGTGAACTTCCCTGAGGTGCCTACGTCTTTCTTTCCCTTCACCTGTGACCCAGTTGAGAAATTTATTTTCATGATGGTCTTTAAAAAAAAGATTTTTTTTTATCCATATGTGTGTTTTACACATTTTATGTATATATGTGCATCATGTGTGTGCCTGATGCCTGTGGAAGCCAGAAAAAGGTATCAGATCCCCTGGAACTGGAGTTACAGGTGGTTATGAGCTGCCTTGTGGGTGCTGGGAACTGGGAGCCGAACCCAGGTCCTCTTGGAAGAGCGGCTTGTGCTCCAAGCCACTCACTGAGCCATCTCTCCAGCCCTTCCAAGCTGCGTCTTGCTATTAGAATCAAATTAAATCTTCTCCATCATCCTCTTCCCATGTTAGTGTCTTGTCAATACACTTTAGAAAGACATTTTTTAAAAGTCATGAATTTCTTTAAGAAAAATCTCAGGTATGAAAGAAGAATATTTATATTTATATTATATTTATTATATATATTAAATTTACACTATTATAAAATAGTTTTTATATAATGAAAAAATATCCATAAAGTAATAACTGTTATTATAAATGATATAAAGAGTTATACTAATGAATTAGTGATTTTTTTTTTTTTTGGAGACAGGGTTTCTCTGTGTAGTTTTGGTGCCTGTCCTGGATCTCACTCTGTAGACCAGGCTGGCCTCGAACTCACAGAGATCCATCTGGCTCTGCCTCCCGAGTGCTGGGATTAAAGGTGTGTGCCACCACTGCCTGGCCTGAATTAGTGATTTTTAAGTGTTATTTATTTTCTGATGGCAGAGAGTTGTGAATATATTAGTGAATATAATAAATTTCCTAAAGTGTTTATGAAATATATTCAAACCCAGTAGCTATAACTAAGAATGTATTTTTAAATTATGCTTTATGGCAAAGCAAAAAGTACACAGTAGTTTTGAATTTGAGTATATTAATTTATGAAAAAACAAGCTTATTGTCTGGCAGTAATATTCCATTCTCATTTGTAAAATGTAGATAGAAATAGAAAGGTATAGTGAAGAAAGTAGACCTGATAGTTTGACATAGTGCTGTAGTGTTGCTTAAAATGTTTGAGGCTCCCAGTTAGTTCCTAGCACATATTACATACAAGGGAAAAGAAGCATTTCAAAATCTTTAGTAGAATATTTTGAGATAGCCCTATAGTGCCATGGTTCTCAACCTTATTAGGATTCATAAAAGTAGCAAAATTACAGTTATGAAGTAACAACAAAATAATTTTATAATCGGGGTCACCACAATGTCTTAAAGGGTCACAGCATTAGGAAGGTTGAGAAGCACTGCTCTAGTGTGTTTACTGTTTTCCAAAGCAGGAATGTTTACCATGGATGCCAGCGGGTATACATACGATTTCTTTAACGCTGACCTGCTCATTCCCATGGCATGAGTCTGGAAAAGAAATTTGAAATGGTGGTTATTTTCTATCTTTTCTGTATTTCTACAATTTAGTTAGCTCATGACTTTTTACAAAAAAGCATTTCTAATATCTCCTTTTTCCTGAATATTGATATATTTTTAAGATGACTTCATCCATTCTCTCCAACATGTTTGTTATGTAGAATCTTCTTTGGCCTTTTGGTCCATGTTGCCTTTAAACACATTTTAGAAGAAACCCATTGTGAAGCATAATGTTTCAAAGCCATAAGCTCACATTCTTGTCCCAAAGCCATTCTAATCTTTAAAACGAATGAAAAAGACAGACATAGTGCTTTGTGCCAGCACCCAAGAGGCCAAGGTAGGAGGATTTGCAGGAGTTGGAGGCCAGTCTGGGCTACAGAGTAGAACCTGGTCTTGAAGCAAAAAACAAAACTCTAAACAAAAAAGTTCACTACAACAACTGTCTTACTTGCTTTTCATGGTAGTTTGTCCTCATAGGCTCATAGATTTGAATGTTTGGTTCCCAGTTGGTGGAACTGTTTGGGAAGGATTAGTGGGTGTGGCCTTGTTGGAGGAGGTGTGTCACTAGGTTCCAAAAGCTCACACCAGGCCCAATCTCACTCTGCCTGCTTTCATTTTTCCCACTGTATTATGTACAAGTTGGACCTACCTTCTTATCAACAGACTCTGGCTTCTTTCCAGGGGTGCTGTAAACACGGTAGTCATTGTTGATTGAAGAACTTAAATACAGTAGACAGGTACTGTGTTGGTTTCATAGATAATTTTATCATTGATTTCTCCTATATAAAGAATTTGCATTGAAATTGTATATTTCTTTTAAAACACTACATTTGAAAATCAAAAGAGAGCCAGGCATGGTAGTAGTGTATTTGTTAAATCCAGCACCAGTGGGGGTAGTGGTAGGTGTAGGCAGAGACAGCAATGTCTATGAGTCCAAGGCTATCCTGGTCTACATAGTAAGATCCTGTCTCAAATATCAAAGCAACAACAACAAAAGCATCAATGATTGTAAGCTAAAATGTTGGTTTCAGAAAATATATTAATGACTCTTTTCTACACCTAGGACTGCTGAAATTCTTTACTATTTGGCCTTGAAGCAAGCTCAGAAGTACAAGATAAATAAGTTTCTCTCATCACCGCACTACACAACACTGACAGAAGCCAGAAGGAACTTAGGACTATTTCAGCATCATGATGCCATCACAGGAACCTCGAAAGACTGGGTGGTTGTGGATTATGGTACCAGGTAATGTAATTATAGAAACACAGCTTCAAGTAAAATATTTTTGAGCCATACAGTTGTGTATGTATGTGTGTGTCTGGAGATGAAGCTGCTAGTGTATCACATCACAAACATAGTGTTGTTTGTTCTATACATTGTTATAACCGAACATCACCAGTTTTCCAAAACTCTGTGGAAGAATCACGGTAGCCCTAGCTTCCAACTTCAGTCTCCAGACGTTAAGCATTGTCTTAAAGCCAATCCTGCTTTTTCCTAAGTTCAACTTGCCAATCGGGTTATTTTCTTTATCAGGCAGCTCAATCCTGTTTTCTTTCATAGCAAGTTGTTCTTGGCTGCTTGAAATACTCTTAGAGGGACACTGATAAGAGAGAGCTGACAGGAAGCTAGCCAGAAAGGACTAGAGTAAGTCAGTTGTGTATGGATGATGAAAGCAGCAGGGAAGGAGAATGGTGGCTGGGCACAGAGGTAAAGGATCTCCTTCATGGAGGGTCTCTCAGGCAATTGAGGAAGCAGGGACTTAGTTATTTCGAAAGAACTTTTAGATTAAAGAATTAGAAGCTGTGCGTACACTGGCTTGGAAAGGCTGAAATCGTTGTAACCAGTGCTTCCTAGCAACAGAAAAGTTGACCTTCAGTGGTGGAGATCTCTATCATCATGCCAGTTTGGATAACCAGACATGGGGATCTGCTCAGGGAGGGTTTCACATTGGATTAAGCATTTTGCCTATTGTCTCACTGTGTTTAGACTGTTGTTTCATCAAGATTTTCTTACCATCTCTTTGTTGGGTAGGGATGTGGAGGTAGAATCCAGTGGTAGAGAATTTGTCTACCATGCATGGGACCTTTTAGTTTAATCCTCTGTGCTAAGAAATAGGCATAAAAGATGCTCTACTTTGTAATGCATTAAAATCATCAGCTATATGCTGTAATGTTCTCATACATTTAAAACTTGAATTGTTGTTGAACTAATTCCTATAGGTGAAAAGTCTGTGGAGCACATCAAATCAATACTAAACAATTGGTTTGCCATCGACATTACCAAACACTAAAGTTTTTATTTACAAGTATTTTATCTAGTTTTCTAAAAACAAAGAGGAATCATATTTGTAAAGCTTCACTACTGGCTTCAGTCCTTCAAAAACTATGTCTCAGGCAGTGTCTTGACTAGCGCCTCCGTTTTCTCATGAGAAGCACGTTTTCCTGAACGTCTTCTGTGCAGAGCTGGCATTAATGCCGCTGGAGTCAGTGCTTCTCTCATTGGAAGCAGCTGGAAGCAAGGGCGGTGCCTGCTTGGCCTTGTTCTTGCCTCATCAGACTTCCTAAGGATTTCTGAGTCTTGGGCACACAGGCCAGTGGAAGCCATGTTCCTGCTCTACCCACGTGTGTTATCCGGTTACTATAGCAAAGGTTCCTGACCACAGGACATTGAATTTTTGTCCACGTTCGGTTTGGTGACCTTGGGAGGAGGCCAACACTAGGTACCCGATGTGGTCTCTGATACTTGCAGCTTAATAAACCAGGCCCGTAGAGAACTGCTTGTTAGAGGCGGTGGAAAGACACAGTAATTTTCCAATTGTACTTGACATTTGTGAATTTACTCTGCCAGTACTTCACACTTCAACCGAAAAGTCGTAAACAATTATCAAGTCATTAGCACAGACACTTTGAGGAAAGAGATTTCCAAACACATGTTAGAGAGTTGGAGACAAAGAGGCAGCTAGCTCGCGCGCGCTGTCGTACACTCGCGCTGTTGACTGCTGTTCATTCAGATGTTGGCAGGCATGTCCCTGGGAACAATTGTGCCAGTGAGGGACTGATGGCTGCTAAGAGCAATTCCAAGCAGGATTAATCCTGCCCTGTTTATTTTCATGTCATATTTAAAAGTTTGTAGATCACCCAGTCGGTATGCCAACTCCACAGTGCCGGAAGGATTCAGGCCCTTCCAACTCCTTCCTCTTTCCCCCAGGGCAAGTCTGAGAGCTGTAATCTCAGCAGAAGCCAAATATTTGCCTATTTGTTATTTTTGATTTTTTTGAGACAGGGTTTCTCTCTGTAGCCCTGGCTGCCCTAGAATTCGCTCTGGAGACCAGGTTGTTTAAGATGGAGAAAGAGAATGCCTCACAGTGTATTTGAGGGTTAATTTTAATCATGATATGGAAACAAACGAAGTGGCCTTGGATAGTGTGATGAATATTTAGCTGCACATGTAGCTAATGTGGCCGATGGAGAAGGGAAGAAGTCAGTTACGTAGAGATTAAGATGTCTTTCAATCTCCTCTATGCTGTAATTACAGTAGCAAGAGAAAGCTGAATGAAAAGGTGAACGTTGGAGTCCAAATGGACAGAAGAAACTGTTGATGGACAGACATGGTGCCAGCTGTTTAAACAACAGCCGTGCCCATGAACAGAAAGACTATGACCCCCGAGTGGGTGTTCTCTGGACCCTGTTCTGTGTTAATAGGATGAGTCCACGTGGGGATGTTAGAGACACTGAGAACTCTCCCATTGACGGGAGGTTTACAATTTTGTATCGCCCTGTGTTTCCTGAACTTATTTACTGTGCTTCATCTGGCTCTGCTTTAGACAAAGCAGCTTTGGTATATCATGAGGAGCTGTTTGAGGAATGCTCCACTCTACTACAGTGCTGGCCTCATTAGGACACCTTGTGTGCATGGGATAGATGTGAACGTCAATGGTGCCTTTAACTCACTTTAATTAGGACTTTTTAATATGCTATGATCCGTGTTCAGCTTAAGCTATTGTTGAACATGGCTCTTGTCCTACAGGTTTAGCTGTATGATAAAGATAGCCATGCAGCTAATAGAAACAAGTGTGCGCTGAAGGAATTATTTCCTTAACTAGACTACCTTCAGTTATCTGGTCTTTAGTCTGATAAGAACACTTACTACTAAGGGCAGACATGTGGACATGCCGAGAAATGTATCTGGATAATGGTACGAATAAGATTTTGCTATTAATGTTATAGATTTTACTATGTAAGTCTATTTAATTAATAATATTGACAATGTACACTTAGCCTGAGTGTTTTATAGATTTTTTTGCTGCTGCTGCAAAATGCTAGCAAACATCCTAGTTCATTCTAGAACCTTTATGTATTTAGCTTTGTGAATATAAGATGGAAATGGTGTTGGTTTGGCCATTGTTTTAAAAATGAAACTATATACAGATTTTTGAGTTCTCAAACTAAAAAAATTTTGCTTTACAGACTCTTCCAGTCATTAAATTTTTTGGAGAAGATAATTGGGGATTCTGCGTTTCTTCTCATTTTAAAGGACAAAAAGATGTACCAGTCTTACCCTTCTGAGACCTTCTTAGAGATGGTTAGTTGATTTCGTCTGTGATTGTAAAAGCCATTTGATTCTTTTGTTCTTGGATTAGAAAAGAGATGAGGAGCTCTATTAAAATAATATTACAGTATAAGAATTGTTTTGTCCAGTTTAAAGGATTTTTATCACTTTATGCAAATGTCTGCATAGTCAACCATCTCTTTTCTATAGGTGTGTTTGCATCTGATTTCCGTATGTAATTCATTCTGCCTAAATCTCAGCCTGAGCAATGACCCAGGGAACTCATTTCATAGTCAGTAAAATAGATGATAGGCTTTTCCAACACTGCCTCATTTGAAGGCACCGGCACTATAATTAGTTATTCTGCTTGGCTATAATTAGAAACCTCTTGATATTTGAATTTTTTAAACCCCTAATTTGCTTTTGATCAAACTGATTTTGAGGGTCTTTTGGTGTCAGGATAGGTTCATTGAGTGATGTGGACAGTGCCAGGACATGTCCATCAAAGGTACATAGTTTAAGGAAGTAGGAGATTATGTATTTGCCTCTGCCGGGACCTCACCTTGAGGGCCTTGGAAGTTTTCCTAGTTCATTTTCATTATCTGTGAATAGGGTGGTGATAGATGCCCCAGCTCGTGCTGCTCCTAGGAGAGCAGAGAGTTAATACAGCAGAAAGTGTCGAAAGTCTCAAGCAACTCCTCATCCAGGAAAAGCCATTGAGAAGATGGCTGATTTCCACCGTCTACACCTCCTCTTGACAACTTGGCTATTTAAAATTGTAACTTAGTTATCATTAGTATCTTTTATGAATGTTGGGATTTGGAATCTTATATGCAATTTGAATTTATACATCTGGAATTAGAGATGCCGCTTCAATATTTTCTTAGATGGATGCTTGTAATCAAGTCATGATTACAAATTTTCATTTTAAAGTGAAAAAGTACAAGAAGTGGATGTGTATTTCCTACGGGATATGAGATGCAGGATGCAAAGATTTGGGGAGAATTTTCTCTAGCACTCAGATTTATTTAGTTAGAAAATGGAGCAACCCATTGCGCCATTGTGGACTCCAGCCACAGCATGCGTGCTATGCTGTGCTCACATCTGATTTTCTCATCTCTGTCTCTGTCTCTCTGTCTCTGTGTGTCTCTTTCTCACACACATACACAAATTTGGGTGATTTGCTTTGAATTTTGACATACTTCATATGCTTTGAAAGAGAATTATTGTCTTCTTATTGTGTTCTTTCCAACCCTTTTGCAATATAGTATTGGCTAGCTCATTTTGATGGTTACTTTTTAAAAGTGAAATGTAAAAACACCATGCCTTTCTTACAGGATATGAAGCAAAGTTCACAAGATTCTCTGCCAACAAAAACCGTAATAGAACTGAGTGCAAAGGAGCCAAGGTAAGTCTCTAATTCCTCATAGACATTTTGCCACCTCCCTGGCAAGTTTTGTTTTTGTGGTTCTGACCTTTAATCAGCACATATTTTAAGGAAGTTTTTCTCTAAATCAATTAAATTTTTTTTCTGAAGAAATATGTTTTCTTCCATGACAGTCATATTGAGTGCTCAGAACTAACTTGGCACAGTGATTACTGTGTTTATGATTTAATATTTTTATAAATGGAAGTAAAGAGATGGTAAATATGTAGCTTGTCGTCCAGCTATTTCCTTTTCTTTGTAATACTGTTTTTAGATTATTGCATTTCTGCATTGGCCTTTCCTGAAGCTTCTTGATTTTCATTAATCCCAGATCCTAATTAGTTTAAAGAAAGAGAATTTAATAACTGGAAGATCACAGTTTTTCCTCTTAAATTTTCATTGGGAAACTACCCCGTTTCTCATTAGACTACAGTGTTGGTGATGTCCACTGAAGTAAACAGTCGGGTTGTTTATTAAATAAAAGCCAGGGTAACTCGTAGCTGCCTGTGATTTGTAAAGACATGCATCTGGGCCTCTCTCACCCTTTTGTGTTTACTGACCAAATATCCCTCAGTTACTACCCACGAACCTAAGCATGTGGTATCTTTTCACGATATAACTTAATTTTTAAATTTTAACTAAGAAACTTAGTGTTACCTCTTGCAAGTTGAAGGGTAAATGTTTTTTACATTAATCTATGATTTTTAACTTAAGTATGATTTATGAAAATTGTGGAAAATAAATGCAGTAGCATTAGAGACAATTTATAGTGCTCGTGATGTTGAGGTTTTTTTTGATGAAGCACTCAGCAAATTCATGGTTGTCGCATTTCTCCGGTAATTAGAGAATCATTCAGCTTACACTGTAGAAGAAATAGGGGTTCTTTGCTTACTTGGGTGCTCAGAAACTCTACTGAGGTCATTAAATCTTCTACTGCCAGATCAGAGAATGGAAGGCTAATGGACTGGGAAGAAACATCAATTATAAAATATTCTCTTTGTTTTAAAAGAAATAATGTTTGAATGTATTTGCAGCTAGATGTCTGCTTCTTAACGATCCTATATTAAGAAGCCATTTGGCTCGAATAACCATAGTAACTTCTTTTCTATCTTCTGTTTTGACCTGGGAAGATCTTTGGTTTTGCTGGCCCTAAGGATCCTAGGTGCTTCAACAAGTGACTGTGACAGATGTCATTTCTGCTCTCCCTGGTTGCCTGTTGTGGTGGGTGCTGTAGGCTGGGGTCTCAGCGGGTCCGAGGGAGAGTCTGTGCCTTGGGCAGGACATAGGTAATTTAGCCTTCCCTTAGCTAGAGGAAGACGGTAGAATTGCAGCCCTTATAGTGATGGAGAAAGGTTTTACTTGCGGATTAGCGCAGACGGAATCTTTAAGGCTTCTGGTCAAAGATGCCCCTGAGTGACTTATATTTAAGCAGTGTTTACATCTACTGTCATCTCTCCATGGGACACTCCTGAGAAAGGTCGCTGCGGCCACTTCTGTAATTTGATTGTCGACGTCTGTTTCTGCCTCTGTTTTGTACTTGAGAACGTCATGACCACATGTACTTATTTTTTGTCTTAAAAATCTAGTTTTTATTTGGTAGCTACAAATTACTTTAGTTATTGATAATACTAGTAAAAAAAATCGCCACTGAACAAAAAGAATGGCAGTGGCCTTTAAAAGTGGAAGGACTCAACAGTTTTACTTAGCTGGTCTTTAAACTGAAAGTTTTAGAATTGTGGTGCTGAGAGTTTCTCAGAGTCTTCGTAAATCTTCTACAATGTTCCGGACTTAGCTTTAATTATAAGTGCAGTTCTCATTTGAGTAGCAAATTATTAATGTAAATAAACCAAACATTCACAGTGGGGAAGATGACACCCAGAGGGTGTAAAATATTATTCTTATTTATATATATAAAATACAGATGCATTTGGTAGAGGTAAAAAGTTACATGCAGTATTAATATTATGTGGATGATTAGGAAATAAATTCTAAAAAGAGACTTAGGGAATTGATATGTAAAAAAAGTAGGAAGGGTTCTGGTATAAACCTATAAATTTAAATAATGCATGCAAATGAATTTGATCATGTCTTTGGTGTTGTTAATTGTGACTATGACCTAATATAATTTACTTCATATTCAGAAAGTAGTGCAGGTGACATCAGTACCTGCTGATGTGTGTGGTTAATTTCCAAGGCTTCTTGAGCTACTTAGTTTTGGAATCCAGAGATTTTGTATAGAATTACATAATAAGAATTACAGTATAGGAACCCAAGAAATGCTTGAGTTCAGAAAGAATTTTTTCTTTCTCTTTTCCCTACAGTTTTCTAAGGAAGCTGACTATAAAGACCCCGTGATAAAAAGTTTAGTGTCTCAGAGGACACTGATAGTGCAAGATGTGCTTATAATTGGGGTCACATCTATTCAGGAAAGACAGGAATGAACTTCACTGTCACACGGGCCAGGACGCCATACACTTTGACCTTTTGTAAAGGCAGCTTCTCTGTAAGGTAGATTTTCTGAAACATCACTAAGAATAAAAACAAATTAATGTAAAGGTAATTTCATAAACCAGTAAATGGGAAATTTTCAAGTTAAATACTTTGTTTTACTTCATTTATGATGTTGCAGCAGAAAACTAGACTGACCATTAATTTAAATGGTTTGTGCTCTGGAGGTTGGAAAGTCCAAAGTGGAGGAGCTGTATCTGAAGAGGGCCTCCATGCTGAGCCCTCCCATGGTGCTGAGTCATCCCATGGTGCTGAGCCATCCCATGGTGCTGAGCC